AGAGAGTTGAGGAACTGGTCGTTGGTATGAAAAAATTCACATGTTTGGTATCAGAAGTGTTGGCAGTAGAAACAGATCACAGTAACTAATGCCTACCATGTAACTTACCAAGATTCTCTTATGATGGTTGTCAGAGATATGTGCAACATTGACAGGTATCGTGACCTACAGGGTCTTGCACAATCACATATATTCCAACAAGAGCCACAAAGTATGAATCCTATGAAAAATATGTTCCTGATCCTACTTGGCCCAGATTTCTCCAGATCCTGCTATTCTCAATTCAAACTTTTTTGTTTAATTGCACTGATTTTTTTTTTTTCTACAGGCCTCTACAAATCCATTGGGGGAGGGGGAGGAAAGAATAAAAGAAACCAAAAGTCACCTGGGCCTGGATCATCTTCTTCTGATTTTGGGAAATGGCTGCTAACCGGGATGCTCTGTCTTTAGCTCTTCTGGATCAGCTCTAAATTTCTGTTCAAAAATCTCAGTCTCCAGTCAAAGGTTTCCCCAGAAATGCTGATGCCTAAGTCTTGGAATCTTCTCCTTTTTCCCTGGATTCCTCTTGTCCTTGGGGAGCCAGCACCTACAGGCTGAAAAGCAAATTACTCTGAGCGGCACAATCTCTTTAGGCCCAAATATTGTCACTGTCGCTATGCATTCACCTTAAACCAAGGCCCCCAAAGATCTGTCTTTTTGAAAAGAGAGGGAAAAAAACCACAAGATGAAGGGGCGGACCTACGCTGGCCGACCACACCTCCTCCCCTTGAGTAACAGGACTCCGACCCTTCCCTAGCCAATCGGCCAAGGCCACAACCCTTCCCCAGCCAATCGGCTGAGGTCACAGCCATTACCTCACCAACTGCCCCTAGACCCCAATAAAACCTTTGTGCTTTTGAAACTGGCTCTCTCCCCCGGTATCTCACCGCTGCGTCGGTGCAGGTAGGGGATTGAGCTCGAGCTAGCTCGAATAAAGGCTCTTTTGCTTTTGCATCGGACTCGGCTCCCTGGTGGTCTTTGGGGATCACGAACTCTGGGCATAACAAAGAGACTCTTCATGATAGAGAAGAAACTGAGGAGTGATGGAGGGAGGTGGGTGGGGGATGGGCTAGATGGGTGCTGGGTGCTAAGGAGGGCACTTGGGATGAGCACTGGGTGTTGTATGTTTAACCAACTGAGCCACACAGGCGCCCCCCACTGGCTGTGGTATGCAAGTGATGAATCACTGAATTCTACTCCTTGAAACCAATATTGCACAGTGTGTTAACTAAAATTTAAAAATTAAAAAAAAAAATCGGTCTTTTTATTAAGTGCTCTGGGCCAAGTGGCAGGGGCCTCCTCAGGCACATCATTTTTAGGAAAGAGGACACACAGACAGTAAGAGATACACATTTTTCTCTTAAATCATGCATGTCCATCTACCTCTGCAAAAGTCTTTTTACATCCTAGGGGACATACACTTTGATTTTGAGAACATCATGCTAATAAGCAAATAATAACACATTGTCTTCATAATTTCTCATTGCATTCCAGTTCTTCATACTCTGTAGAGTATTAGAAGTATAAACCTGTATAGGATAGTTGGCAAAAACATTCTTTAGAAATAGAACTGAATTTTCAGGCGAAAGCACACAGTATTCTTCATCAGAAGACCTGTGTTACAGCAAATAAGAAGGTTCTTCAAGCAAAAGGAAAGGATCTTCCAATGTAAGCAGAGGAGCAAGGAGTCAAGAGAAATAAAACTGGTAAATAAGAGTTGAAGTCTAAATCAGTACCAACTGGAAATATAACAATGATCATCTCTCAGAAGGTTTTAAAAACATGAAGAGTTAAGATATTCCGTGACAGGGGCACCTGGGTGGCTCAGTCAGTTAAGTGTCAGACTTTGGCTAAGGTCATGATCTCGAGTTTCATGGGTTCGGGCCCCACGTCAGGTTCTGTGCTGACAGCTCAGAGCCTGGAGTGCTTAGGATTCTGTGTCTCCCTCTCTCTCTGTATGCCCCTCCCCCGTTCACACTCTGTACCTCTCTCTCTCTCTCTCTCTCTCTCTCTCTCTTTCAAAAATAAACATTAAAAAATATTAATAATAAAATAAAATAAATAAAGTAAAAAATAAAGTATTCCATGGCAGCATATAACATAGAAGTGGTGAGTGAAAAACTGTTCTAAAATCTCTGTATAGACAGAGAAGAATATAAAAGTACTAATTACCATAATACTTCGACAGACAAACTGTTATGTTATTTTGCAATCTCTAGTGTGAATAAAACTAATATATATATTTTTAAGCATACATAACTATATGTTAAAAGAGAAAAAAATATAATGCACATGGCTTCTGTAGCAACTACTCAACTATACCACTACAGCTCAAAAGCAGTCATATTAAAAAAAAAAAAAAAATAGGTGTGGCTGAGTTCTCATAAGACTTTATTAACAAAAACAGGCACTGGCCCAGATTCAGTTCATGGGCCCTACCTGCCCAACTCCAAATGAGAACACAAAAGCCACATAATCATCTAAATCAAGGGTCAGTAACACAGGGCCTAGACCACCTGTTTTTGTAAGTAGTTTTATGGGAATACAGTCAGCTCCACTTGTTGACCATTCTCTCAGGCTTTCACACTCTATCTACAAAGGTAGAGTTGAGAATTTACATCTGAAAACATTACCCAGTACAACACGCTTTGAAAAAATAATCAAAGATGACTTTTGAATATAGAAAGAGGCAAATCATCAGTATTCACCTAACACGTCTGTGTACATCTTTAGTCAGGTGGCTGGCTACGACATTTAAATAGAAAAATTCTAGGGGCGCCTAGGTGGCTCAGTTGGTTAAGCGACTGACCCTCGATCTCAGCTCAGGTCACCATCTCGAGGTTGGTGAGTTCAAGCCTGGAGTAGGGCTCTGTGCTGACAGTGCAGAGCCTGCTTGGAATTCTCTTGCCTACTCTTTCTGCCCCTACCCCACTTGCTTGCTCTCCTCTCTCAAAATAAATAAGTAAACTTAAAAAAAATTTTTTTTTTTTAATTCTAGGGGCGCCTCAGTGGCTCAGTCGGTTGGGCGTCTTGACTCTTGATTTCGTCCCACGTCATGATCCCAGCGTCTTAGGATCACGCCCTGTGTCAGGCTCTGTGCTGAGCATGGAGCCTGTTTAGGATTCTCTCTCTCAATGTCTCTCTCTGTCTCTCTCTCTCTCTCTTTCCCCCTCTGCCCTGTTCCCCCACTCACACTCTCTCTAAAAATTAAAAAAAAAAAAAAAATCTAGACCATTTTAAAGCATACACAGGTCAAGGTCAGTATTAAAGAGCAGGACATTTCATGGGGATAATTTAACATTTTTAAAATTTATTTAGTTACCTATTTATTTATTTATTCTTAGAGAGAAAGCCCGAGCAGAGAAGAGGGGAAAAGGGAGAGAGAGAATCTTAAGCAGGCTCCACACGCAGCACAAGCCTGACTCGGGCTTAACACAGTCAGATTCGGCTGCTCAACCGACTTAGCCACGCAACCACACCTAACATTCACTTAAAACAGGCAATAGAAGTATCACCAGTAACCGACAAATCCACTTCTAAGAACTTCTGAAAAGAAATACTGACAACAGTGTAATATTTGAGAGGTCATTTTTAGTTCCTCATATTTTTTCATAAGAGCACTTATGTTTTAAGTCAGAAAATTATTGGCATTCTACATTTAAATTGCTGTTGCTAGATCATTAATGTAAGTTCACAAGTTTACTTTAAAAAAGAGACAGAGGGGCGCCTGGGTGGCGCAGTCGGTTGAGCGTCCGACTTCAGCCAGGTCACGATCTCGCGGTCCGTGAGTTCGAGCCCCGCGTCGGGCTCTGGGCTGATGGCTCAGAGCCTGGAGCCTGTTTCCCATTCTGTGTCTCCCTCTCTCTCTGCCCCTCCCCCGTTCATGCTCTGTCTCTCTCTCTGTCTCAGAAATAAATAAATGTTAAAAAAAAAAAATTTAAAAAATAAATAAATAAATAAATAAAAAAGAGACAGAGAAGTAAGGAAGGAGGTAGGGAGAGAGAAAATGAGTTACAAATACAAATTTTACACAGCACAAAACCATAAATATGGGGAACTTATCAGCCTTTTTACTCAAATACACTAGGCTCCTGCCATCACAGACCACAATTTTAGGTATTTTACTATACTTATCTTCAAAACAACCCTGAGGGAGAGTTTAACTTCTCTTTTTGCCAAGTGGGAAAGAGACACAGGTCACACCCGTCACACAATGGAATTGAAAAATCAGATTAATTTCGTTCCAAAATTCACTTTCATTCCACTACACAACAGGCCAAGACTATTTGTAAATAAAATCTCTGTTCATTAAGTAAACAAAGGAAACAAGTGAAAAGCTATTGGAACGCTATTAATCATGTAATTGCAGAGGCATTTAGAGTACTGGCAGTGATCTGCAACTGTCTTTAAAATGCACCAAAACCGGGGCACCTGGGTGGCTCAGTCGGCTAAGCGTCCGACTTGGGCTCAGGTCATGATCTCACGGTCTGTGAGTTCGAGCCCCGACTCGGGCTCTGTGCTGACAGCTCGGAGCCTGGAGCCTGCTTCCGATTCTGTGTCTCCCTCTCTCTCTGCCCCTCCCCCACTAGTGCTCTGTCTCTCTCTCAAAAATAGATAAACATTAAAAATAAATAAATAAAATGTACCAAAACCAACTAGAAGACTGATTCATGAAAAGAAGATGGATAGAGGGCTCAGGTAACTAACTAGTAGAGCTAGTCTAGTCCGAAGTTAATGGTAAAATCTAGGTGGTAGGTATATGAATGGTTACTTTAAAATTCTTTCAGTATGTCTCTATGTGTGAAAATTTTCTACACTAAAATGTTGGGTGGAGAGAAAGATACTGTAATAAGAATTTAGTAGGGTGGCCAAGTAGCAAATAAATATTTACAGTTAATTGATCTTTTGCATTACAAAAAATGATAAGGAAAAGGGAGTCAAAGTAATAACACGCTTACAACTGCAATAAAAATAAACAGTTTATATTGGGAACGAAAAGCTGGGGAACAAATCCAAGGGTATAAATGCATAATCATAAAATGTCTCTCGAATGATACCTAAACATCTCAAACATTTCATCTCTATATAGATTATACATAAGCAAATGCTTAATACGAATCCACTCACAATATCACCGGTTCACACATTAAAAATAATTTGTAAGTGTTTATTATATGAAATAAGGCCAAGGAGAAAATCATAGTACCATTTACACAACTTATCTGAATTATAAATATTAAGCACATAATCTAAAAGCCTCAAATTGAAATCTACTAAAATTTTGACAAGGATTATCCCTTGTGAACGGAACGTACAGTGTGATAAGAGATTTTACTTGCGTCAGAATCTGAAAAGAAATATCCAAGAGGAATGTGCAAGGAATCTCGGAGGACAAAAGAGAAAAGGCGGCAACTTCAACAGAAAACTGCTATTAGATAGGCTGGCTCATTCATCTCCGCAAAAACTTTCATTCCTGAGAGTCCGAGGGTACGAACTGGCGCCGGCTGCCAAAAAACCAGAGCTGAAAAAAAGACCCGGGGCTAAAGGGCAGAAGCGGGGACGCACACCCGCTGTCGTCGGCGGCAGCCCAGGCCCGGGCTCCGCACGCCGCGGCCAAGCCCCCCGCATCCAGGCGCAGCCCACGCTCCCACCCGTACCCCGGACGCACCCGGCGGCCCCCGCGTGAGCTCCACGGACCCCGACCCGTGAGCCCCGAAACAGCTTGGCTTTGAGCCCCGAACAAAACCCGCTCCACTTGCAGCTGACCGCCACCACCCTCCCGCTCGCAATCTCTGAGCCCCAGCGAGTAAACGGCCCCCAAATGTGCCCTCTGCACCCGGTCGCTGTTCCCGAGAAATCTTTACCCAAGAACTACGAGAGCACCTCCTGACCGAGACCACGGGCACCGCAAGCGGACACCCTAACACGGAAGAACACCCACCCACGGTCTCCTCCCGCAAGAATTCCACCCACACCACCCCAGGCGGACGCCGACGAACCGTCCCCGGCCACAGTCCGCGAACGCACCTGATTCTCGCCACACACCACTGCGACCGACCGGCACCTGAACTTACTTCGCTGAACTTCGTCCGCGTCCGTCAGCACCGCGGGGCTGCGGCCAACAAGGGTCTGAAGCATTTCTAGAGAAAAGACGACTGGACCCCGGCTTTGCCGCTGCGGCAACATGGCCGCACCCTGGCCATGCCCCGTGGGGGCAGCCATCTTGGATCTCGGCCCTACGGGGCGCCAAGAGCCCGATTCCGCGCCCGCCGGCAGGGGCGGCTGGGAAAGTGAAAGGGCCAGGCAGTCTGGGCGGAAACGCACAGGTAGGAGGAGCACAGCTGGAGCTTACGCCAGGCAAAAAACGGGGCGGGGAAAATCCCTTTCAGCGAGCGGACTGGAAAATTAAAATTAGGACACGGCTCGGTTGGCGTGATCCTGTTACCAGGAAGTGGAGGTATTTGTACAGCACAGAACTCACAGAAGCCTCCTCGGGGGAGTTTCCAGCAGAAATGGGTTTGAAGCGACTTTTGGACGGAGAACAACGTTCGCAGAAGCTCTGAGGGCACAGGGATGACGGTCACTGATTAGGAAAGAAAACCGCTGGAACGCGCCAGTTAGGCGTGGGCAAGAGTGATGGGGTGGGAAGGCCACTAAGGCCAGCGAAAGTGAGAGAAGAGAAAGAGAGAGAGAGAGAAAGTGAGAGAAAGTGCCCAGGGAAGGGCGGAGCCTAGGCTGCACACAGAGCTTTTCCTGGGTCCAGAGAGGAAGGCAGGGCTCTGAGGACTAGTGGCCAGGAATAGGCAACTGTGACAGCTTCCACAAGAATAAAAGTTGTGTAAAACAAAAATGTCATGGGGCGCCTGGGTGGCGCAGTCGGTTGGGCGTCCGACTTCAGCCAGGTCACGATCTCGCGGTCCGTGAGTTCGAGCCCCGCCTCGGGCTCTGGGCTGATGGCTCAGAGCCTGGAGCCTGTTTCCGATTCTGTGTCTCCCTCTCTCTCTGCCCCTCCCCCGTTCATGCTCTGTCTCTCTCTGTCCCAAAAATAAATTAAAAAAACGTTGAAAAAAATTAAAAAAAAAAAGAATTGATTCAGTAGAAATTAATCTTTTTGAGAACAAACATGTACAAGGATATTTATGGTATAAATTTTGACAAATGTAAGGAAATAAACACTCTTGTGATTCTTAAATTTACTCCTGCAGGGCGCCTGAGTGGCTCAGTCGGTTAAACGTCCAACTCTCGATTTTGGCTCAGGTCACAATCTCACAGTTCATGAGTTCGAGTCCCACATCCGGCTCTGCACTGACAGTTCAGAGCTTGCTTGGGATTTTCTTTCTCCCTCTCTCTCTGCCCCTCGCTTGCTTGTTCTCTCAAAAATAAACATTTTTTTTAATTAAAAAAATAAATTTATCCTTCCATCTCTATATTCACACTTTTGGATAGCATCCCCTCCTAGGGACTGTGACTAACGTGTCCAATAAGACAGTAACAAACAGGACAGAACCAGACTTGCTCAGTGAGGTATGGTATATGGTTCTCTTGGAGCTCCTCTAACACATTATACTAGAGCCCAGGCTAGCCTCTTGCAGCAGGAGATTGTGAATGACCCCATCCATTCCAGTGACACTTAGACGTGTAAAAAAAAAAAAAAAAAAAGCCACCTAGCTTGTGCAGCCCCAGCCCAGACAGCCCACACTAGACAATCCAACCCTAGACCCACACAACAGAATTGGTAAATGTTTGTCTTTTTTTTTTTTTTTTAATTTATTTTTATTTTTGGGACAGAGAGAGACAGAGCATGAACGGGGGAGGGGCAGAGAGAGAGGGAGACACAGAATCGGAAACAGGCTCCAGGCTCTGAGCCATCAGCCCAGAGGCCGACGCGGGGCTGGAACTCACGGACCGCGAGATGGTGACCTGGCAGAAGTCGGTTATAACCGACTGCGCCACCCAGGCGCCCCAGTAAATGTTTGTCTTTAGACATTAACTTTTAGGAAAGTAATTTTGTAACGCAGTCAAAAGAAACGAATACCAGTATGAATGTACACCAGTAGGTGATTTGTTAAATCAGAGATGTCTCTTCATGAACAACCTACAGACATACTGTAAACTGGTGCAGCCACTATGAAACAGTACAGAGGTTCCTCAAAAAATTAAAAACAAAACTACAATATGATCCACCAATTCTCCTGTATCCACTCAAATGGAATGAAGTCACTGTTTCACAAACACAGCCGTACCCCCACGTTCACCGCAGTATTGTTTACAATAGCCATGCATCAAAACCTAAGTGTCCTATACAAACGAATGGATTTAAAAAATGTGGTACAGGCACAGACACACACAATTGAATATTCAGCCATAAAAAAGAAAACCTTGGGGCACCTGGGTGGCTCAGTTGGTTAAGCATCCAGCTCTTGGCTTCAGCTCAGGTCACAATCTCACGGTTTGTGAGGCTGAGCCCCATGTTGGGCTCTGCACTGACAGCATGGAGCCTGCTTGGGATTCTCTCTTTCTCCCTCTCTCTGACCTGCCCCCAATTGTGCCCTCTCAAAATAAATAAACTTAAAAAAAAAAAGAAGAAGAAAATCCTGTCATATATGACTCATGAATAGATCCTAAGGGTATTATGCTGAGTGAAATAAATCAGAGAAAGACAAATATTGTATGATCTTATTTATATATGGAATCTAAAAAAAAAAAAACAACAAAAAAACAAACTCCTAGATACAGAAAAAAAATTTGGTTGTGACAGGCAGGGGTGGGGGTGGGATGTGGATGAAATGGGTGAAGGTGATCAAAAGGTACAAACTTCCAGTTATAAGATAAATAAGTCTGTAATAATAGTAGTAATGATGTGTGGAATATCGTTAGCCATTAGGGAGACCCAAGTTAAGCTCCAGATCGGTTACTACTATATACCTAATAAAATGGTTAATGTAAAATATAACGACAATACCAAGTGCTGGTGAGGATGGAGAGCGACTGAGTCTCTCCTATGCTGCTGGTGGAATGGCTAAAATAAAATCTACAGCTGACCCTTGAGCAACGTGGGGTTGAACTGCATGGGTTCACTTATATGCAGGGTTTTTTTTTTTATTTTTACAGTAAAGCACTGTAAATGTACTTTCTCTTCCTTGTTTTTGTTTTTCTTAGGCTTTGTAAATTTTTTAACATTTCAGTATAATTAACATACAGTGTTATACTAATTTTAGGTGTACAATACAGTGATTCAACAATTCTATAAATTACTCAGTGTTCACCATGATAAGTGTACTCTTAATCCCCATGTTTTTACCCATTCCCCTACCCACCTCCCCTCCTAGTAACCCTCAGATTGTTCTCTATATTTAACAGTCTGGTTTTTTGGTCTTTTTTTTTTTTTTTTTTTTGCTTTATTCATTTGTTTCTTTAATTCCATGTATGAGTGAAATCATATGGTATTTTTCTTTCTTCCCCAAAAGTCGGATTTTAACATTCTTTTCTATAGCTTACTTTAAGAATACAGTATATAATACATATAATATACAAAATACGTGTTAAGCAACTATTTATGTTATTGGTAAGGCTCCCGATCAACAGTTGGTTATTAGCAGTTAAGTTATATGTGGATTTTCAACTGCGTGGGGGTCAGTGCCCCTAACCCCTACATTATTCAAGGCCAAGTATACTGAATGCCCAGTGCTGGAGAGGATGTGGAACAGTATTTCATACACTGCTGGTGAGAATGTAAGAGAGCACAGGGCATTGGAAGAGACTAGTTTCTTAAAAGGCTAAACACAACTTATCATACATCCCAACAATCATACACTTGAATATTTATTTTAGAGGAATTAAAATTTATGTTCACACAAAGCCCCGTATGCAGATTTCATACCATCTTTACAACAGTTGAAACCAGGAAATCTCGAGTGAAGGGAAAGGGGCACCTGGGTGGCTTAGTCAGTTAAGCTTCAGATTTCAGCTCAGATCATGATCTCATGATTCATGAGTTCAAGCCCCATAATCGGTGAGCCTGAGACCCACTTTGGGTGAACTCGTGCTGCGCTGCAGGTGAGCCCCGCTTCTCTCTCCATCTCTCTACCTTTCTGCCCCCTGCTCACGTGCGTTCTTTCTCTCAAAAATTTTTTTTTAATTTAAAAAATTAAAAAAAATAAAGGGATAAATAAACTGGTCATGTGTATTACTAATAAAACGTGTCAGTAATGACACATTTGTATGTGTACTACTCACAATAATAAAACCATCCAGCAACTCAAGTAAGTCTTCAGAGCAATTTGCGAATGACAAAAACATGAAAAGTTTACGTGCTCCCTATTAATAAAAAATTATAAATTTGTACATAGTCAATAATATTGTAATAACCTTTATCAAAGTTATAAAATTATATAAATACAATATATCTACAAAATATATAAAATCCAGTTATAAAAATGATTTTTATAGCATTCATAGAATTGCACGGTTATACTGATGGAAAATGTAAGTGGTTGCAGGAGGTAGGTCTGGATAAAGGGTATGAACATAAAAAGGGAGAGACTCTGTGTTGATTACAGTTTTACATCCTGGTTGTAATAGTGGTTTACATGACTATAATGTAATAAAGCTGCTTAGAATTACAACCTAAAAAAACAAAACAAAAACTATGAAAATCTAATGAAATCCAAATAAGGTTAAGGGTTTAGCTAACAGTACACTACCAATGTCATTTTCCTAGATTCAACAACAAAATGTGGTTTACATACTGGGAGACATTAGGTAAAGGATACTAGGGAAGTCTCTGGACTATCTTGCAATTTCTTCTAAGTTAAAATGATTTCAAATTAAACATTTTCAAAAATAACTTGGGGGGTGCCTGGGTGGCTCAGTTGGTTAAGCATCCAACTTTGGCTCAGGTCACGATCTCCTGATTGGTGAGTTTGAGCCCCACATTGGGCTCTGTGCTGACAGCTCAGAGCCTGGAGCCTACTACAGATTCAGTGTCTCCTCTCTCTCTGCCCCTCCCCCGCTTGTGCTCTGTCTCTC